GAAGAGCGGCAGTAGGCTTGCAGCGCGAGGCAGGCCTCGTCTGCCCTGCAGTACGCAGCACCCTGTGCTATCATCCGAGGGGCCGGGCCTGCAGCACAAGCCGTCTTTGCTGTCGGCTGCCTTGGCTGTTAGAGCGTGTTGGAAATGTGATGTTTTCGGTAGATGTTATGAGATTCCAATGATTCCGTGCTGTCAGTCTGCCTAATTATCCACTGCAAAGTGCAGTTGTTTTTGAACCAGGCTTCACATGCTGGCCAGGTGAAAGCTGGGACACGTGTGAACCCTGGCTTTTTTAAGAGACAACGTAGGATTCCTGCATGTGAACGAAGGAGAGCTGTTCTTTAAATTGTTGTAACTATATACGTTTTCCCTTTAGAATATCATATCCTGCTCAGGCCATTGAGAGAGGAGATAACAAAAGAGTCACCTTTTAAGGCAAATGAGGTGTCCCTATCTATTTTTCTCTCTCCTGTGAGGATAGGAGGACTCATTAAAACCAAAAGCACAGGTTTTGTAAGACTGAGCAAACCTGATTGCTTCGTATCTGCTGAGTATATCTCGCTGCCCAGGATATCCAATTTATGAAAATGAATTCTGGGGAGGGAGGCAAATCAGAGCCTGTCTCGGCCGTTGTCGCCCCATCGCGCCGCTGCGCAGGACCCGACTAGCCAACTCGCGCCAGGGCTGTGCCTTGCCGTTCCCGCTCCCCTCGGGAGGGAGAGGCTGGTTCCACGCGGGATCGCTGGCTGCTGGGAGCTGTAGTTTCCCGGCTCCCTCCCCTGCCGGTGCAGCCTTGGGCTGCGCTCCGCATGCCGTAACAGGCCTCCCCCGCGCGGACTACAAATCCCAGCAGGGCTCTGCGCGCTGGCCCTGGGGACGCTCTACTGTAAACAGAGGCTCTGAATTCAGGCCAGACCCTGGGGTTAGCTCATTTTTTTCCCTTAAAATAACTGGAAGGAGGAGGGATACAAACATCAGTGAAGTCTCTCCCGAAGCAGCTGATCTCTCCCAGCTTTTTTCTGCTTGCCTCTCTCCTGTGCGTACCTCGCGGTTTCCCCCCCTTATTAACTCTCCTTTCAGTCAACCCAGGGACCTGCAGCAGCCATCTGGAAGGAAGTTGAGGAAGGTCTGAATGTGTGACTGTGGTGGAAGGTGAAGGGAAAGGATAAGCACCACCCTGTGCTCTCCTGAGAGTTGATGTCCTCTTCCTTCGCAAGGCTGGAAAAATGTCTGCAGGGGGTGCCCCCCAGGTACGGCCGGGGGGGAATTGTCAGCTGATTGCTGTCTTGCCTACGTCCCCAGACGGGAGAGGCCAGTGTTGAGGGGTGAGCTCTGACTGCAAATTTCTCCCTGCTTTTCTCTGTCAAATAACAGAGGAGTACACTGCTGGGGTGGCTGGGAGGAACTGCTGATTCTCTTCTATGCCATGACGTTTTTGTGGTGGGTGGCCTTTTGGCACTTTCCCAGGGGGATGGAAACTCTTCTGGTGGTTTTCTCCTTTTCTTGTTGTTTAGAAATATCGCGGTCCAAGGAGGCTGCGCTAATCCTGTGCAAGATTTTTTTTTCTTTTAAATTGGCACTTCTTAAAGTTGTTACAATCATCAGAGCAGTGGCTGATCTTGGTGACTTCTGCCATCTGTTTTCCTTGTGCTCCTGCCAAGCTAAAGAGGAGTTTCGAGGGAGGGAGAGAGGAATCCTGGGGAGGGAAGATGGGAGGACAGGGTGTCAAGCTTCCCAGGAAAAGCTAGTTTGGGCTCGTTACAGAGGTTTCCTCCTTTGGTACTGAACCTGGCTGGATTGGGAAACTGTGCTCAGTGATCGTACCCAGCAGGTAACCCAGGCAAGTGACCCACTGGAGAAACAAGTGATCCTGTTAGAGCGAGGGTGGTGGGCGTGTGGCTCCAGGCGTTAGCAGGCTCCACGGGAGAGTTTCTGTCTGCCGGTGCTGTTGCTGATGAGGAAACAGGCACAAAGGAATAGCAGCTTGCTTGTTTTGAAGCAAATCAGTGGCAAGGTTGGAAATATCACACAGTACCCTTGTGATACCTTCCCAGTCCTCTGCTTTGACTTCCCACCTCTCTGCCGAGCTGTTTAGACAGGGAGCTCTCTGTGTGGACTCACGTACCTACCATCTCTAGCTCTTTTTCTGAAGAACTGAGAGTTGCCTTTTGACATGCTGCATGCAGGGGCTTGAAAGCAGTGTGTCCTCAGGCCTAATGTTATGTGCAGCTTTGCTATGCCAACTACCTAGCTCTTGTGTCAAGGGGGATAGCTAGGCAGAACCAGCCCTTCGTGTCCTCCAGTACCAAAACAGCTTTTCCTAACCCTCTGCGAGGGAAAAACCCATGGCTGCTGCTTGTTGCAAATGCTGGTAGTGTTTAAGGGTGTTGGGTTTTGTTGCTCCCCAAAGGAGCAGGTGGAGTTACTGAAATGGCACATGAAGTCTTGCTGGGGTGTGATGAAGGAGCACACCTTGCTGGTGATCCTGCTGGGCAAGAAGCTCATTAGCTCTTGAGCTGTGTGCAAGGCAGTAGAAATGATGGCTCAAGGGGGTGAGAGTGCTTGCTGAGGGTCTAGGTGTTTGAAGTGGTGTGGCACCTGTGGGCTGGTCGTACCTGCACGCCTTGCTGTGGGGCAGGTCTCACCAGTAATAGTCCGTGAACGTCAGAGCTACTGCCTTCTCCTTCAAATCCATTTGCAGGAATCTCTTCCCCAAAGCAGAGATGGCGCTTCCAATGTGTGTAAGAAAATGCTTTTACTCCAGGGCTTCAGGGTGATGACACTGTTAAATTAGCTGGTGCTTGCTCTCCAAAGCTGCATGAGCAAGGACCTTCAGTGGTGTCCGGGGATGCTGCAGGTGCTGCCAGAATGTAACATGTGTATTTACACCTTTCCCAGCACAGGAGAGGGCTGCTTTTTGGCTGCCTCAGGCAACTGGTGACACAGAGCAGCGTGGATAGCAGGCACAGTCTTTCCAGCGTGTTGTTGTTGCTTGACAGGATGGTGGAAAAAATTCCTGTTGCTTTTCAATCTTAAGATGGTGAAAGCAGGCCTGGCCAGCAGTCTGCTCAAGGAATGATTGCTAATAGCCCAGATTGCTGTGCGGAGCCTGGCCTTAGCTGGGGTCACTGCATATTCTACAGAGCAGAGTTGGTTGCACCCACCAGAGGAGGGGCAGGAGAGGTCGGTGAGCTGGAGATGTGCTACAGAGCCTGTCATCCCTGCTTCACCAGTTCAGATCTACCCTGGCTCGGTGTTGTCCCCCCAAAAAAAAAAGTCACAGCTAGCCAGTGTCTCCTAGAATCTCCTGCTCCGCTCGTAGAGGTTACCGCGGATGAATCACTACTGCTAACCTGACGTGATTGTTGACTGGGTGCATGAAAAGGCGGGCTATGGAGTGAAGCTGATGTCCAGTTCCATCTCCTAAGGTCCCCTCTCTGGCCGTAGCTGTCTGCTTATGCCCCTGGCTGGTGATGCGGCTAGGTCTAAGCTGGTGAGATACTGAGCGTGCTGCCTGTTAACATGAGTCTTCTTTCTCCTGGACCAGCCTGCCCACATCCTGAACCTGCTCCCTTATCCCAGATTGAACGAGGTGCCAAGAGCTGGACATCAGCTGGATTCTGTTGGCATAGAAATCCCATCAGATCCCTGCACAGGTGACTACCGTGAGGAGCAAGCAGCAGACGGGGTGTCAGCATGCAAGGCAAACCAATATAAGCTCAGATACTTTACTCACTTGGGACAGGTTTTTATGATACGTTTTTGTATTCTCTGGAGTACAGTCAGTCCTATGGTAGCGCCGGTTCACCTCGATTGCTGGCAACCTTGATTGCTCCTCTTCACTGAGGCTGGGGGCAGGGGTAGTGGGGAAGTAGAGGGTGAAGCAAAGGATGTATGTAAATGTGGGCGAGTGTTGCTCAGCTGGGAGGAAATCCCCCAGCCTGGAGCCTGAGGCAGGTCGTTCAGCCAGCCTCTGCTGCAGTTGCTCTGGTAGCAGTGTTTCTCTGTTAATGACTGAGACTTTCCATAAATTTGGGAGGTTCAAGTTGTAATTAATTACGTTTTTGGGGTAGACTTTGAAATCCTATCATGAAGAGTGCTGTATGGGTTCTAAGGATACTTAGGTGAGCTTGTGAAAGACTTTGGAATGAAAATTGTTTTCCAAGGAATGGTGTTCTTTCTCACCTTTCCCTTGAGCATGCGTTACCAGGAGGAGGGAGTCTGATGCGTGTATTTCCTTTTATCTTTAATTACACTTCAGGCAGCAGAAGCTTAAAATAGATGAAAGCAACGCCCAGAGGCTTTGTTAATTTTAGCTTATTTGTGAATTAACACAGGCATCTCCAGCATAATGATGTGTATGCCAAATGCATGTTTTGCAGTGTGACAGTTCATGGTGACCAGCTCTTATCCCTTCAACCAGGCTACAGATTTTTCAAGCCCGGTGGTTTGTTCGGTATTAAACAAGCGGAGGAGCCATACACTGAAGGCCAGGAGATGCAGGAGGAGAGCAAGATCCTCGTGAGCCCTTGTGCAGGTAGGTGCCTCACACGTCTTTGCGAAGGCTGTGGGAGTGATTGGATATTGACCTTGACAGAGGAGGTTCATCTTGTGTGCAGAGACAAGATGTTTGCAGCGAGTTAATTGCAATTTTTAATTGTTACTGTTGGCTGCCTGTGCTGCTCGCAGCCAGTCAAGGGTGGGGTGGGTTCCGGGAAGGGTTCTGATCTCCCTGGTTACTTAGAGTGTTACAGGCTGCAGCAAAAGACTCGGAAATTAATGTCTCGACTCTTTTTGAAATCCAGTTGAGCCTGGTCGAACAAATAAAGTTGAGCAGCAGGAGGAGAAGCCTGGGTGCACTGCCGGCTCCCTGGAGCTGTATCCCACAGCCACAAGCAGTTCCAGCCGCTGGTTTCACAGTGGGCAACGTGCAGCTGAGCGGGCGGGCATGGAGAGAGATGGTGCGGCTGGCCTCAGCCAGGTCTCGGCCCGGGTTGCCTGCTGGGTACCCCAGCTTGGGGCTGGCCCCTTCAGGTGTGCCCAGTGCGGGAAGGGTTTCCGCCAGAAGCAGAGCCTCATCACGCATGAGAGGATTCACACTGGAGAGAAACCCTACAGGTGCGGGGACTGTGGGAAGAGCTTCAGCCAGAGGCCCAACCTCCTGACCCATCGACGCGTTCACACGGGGGAGCGCCCCTTCCCGTGCACGCAGTGTGGCAAGAGCTTCAGTCAGAAGGCCAACCTCCTTGCCCACCAGCGGATACACGCTGCTGGGGAGAAGGCGCTAGCAGGGGGCGACCAGGAGGACGGCACATCCACCAAGCCAAAACTCCGAGCCCAGCAGAGAAGTTACCAGGAAGACACCCCCTTTGTGTGCCCTGAGTGCGGGAAGAGCTTCCGGCAGAAACCCAACCTCATCACCCACCGGAGAATCCACACTGGGGAGCGCCCCTTCACTTGCTTTCTCTGCGGGAGAAGCTTCAACCAAAAGACCAACCTGGTGACACACTACCGCGTGCACACGGGGGAGCGCCCCTTCGCCTGCACCCAGTGCGGCAAACGGTTCACCCAGAAAACCAACCTGGTGACCCACCAGAGCACCCACACGGACGTCCGCCCCTACCCTTGCAGTCAGTGCCAGAAATGCTTCAAGGACAAAGTGTCCCTGAAAGCGCACCAGAAAACTCATGCTCCGCGCCAGCGGAGATGCCCGGGTCGGAGTCCGGCTCCAGCCCTGCCCTACGGGACTGCGCCCACGCTGCTCCAGCCAGGCGGCCCGGAGCAAGAGACGCCGTTCAATCCTATGCCACCACTGCCTGTTCAGAAGATCCCTGAAAGCCAAGAACTGTACTCGTGTACAGAGAAAAGCTTTCCCCCAAAGGAGCAGCTGCTGCCGCATCAGCAACCCCCGCTGGGGGAGCAGTCTTTCCCTTGTGTGCAGTGTGGGGAAGGGTTTTGCCAGAAGGTGACTCTCCTAAGGCAACAGCACAGCCCTGCCATGGAGACTGCCGGTGGGTGTGCGACTGGCTTCAGCCACAGTCAGCATCTCCTGGGGCACTTGGGGGTGCAGCCTGTCCTTGGGGATGGGCCAGCCCCTGCTCCGCCTGCCCCTGGGGCAGAGAAGCCCTTCATCTGTAACCAGTGCGGCAACAGCTTTGGCTTGTGGTTGTCCCTTGTGGCCCATCAGAAGAGTCATGTAGGGCAAAAGCCCTTTCAGTGCCCTGACCATGAGAAAAGCTCCGGTGATGAGCTGTCCCCCAAAGCCCCGCCGGAGAAGCAGGTGGAAGGGAGAGCCTGGGTGTGTCCGGAGTGCGGGAGGAGCTTTGCTCAGTACGAGCGCTTGGTAAAGCACCGGCAAAACCACAGGGGCAGAGGGCCCTACCGATGTGACGTCTGCGGGAAGAGATTCAGCCTGAAAACCAACCTGGTGACTCACCAGCGCATCCACACGGGGGAGCGCCCCTTCACCTGTGGCGTGTGTGGGAGACGGTTCAACCAGAAGGGGAACCTGGTGACGCACTACCGCACACACACGGGAGAGCGGCCTTTTGCCTGCACCCAGTGCGGCAAGCGCTTTGCCCAGAAGCCCAACCTTATCGCCCACCAAAAGACCCACAACGGGAGACAGCCCTTCACTTGTTTGGAGTGCCCCAAGCGCTTCAAGAGCAAGCTCTCCCTGAGAGTCCACCAGCGAGTGCACGCAGCAGAGCGGTCCCCGAGCGAGCCGGTCTCGGGGCAGACGCCCAGCCTGCAAGGCCACCCTGGGAGCCCGTATCCCTGCTCTCTCTGTGGGGAGACCTTTGAGGAACACGGAGATCTGCAGCTTCACCGTCAGGGCCACACTGGGGAGCGGCCGCACGCCTGTGCGGAGTGTGGGAAGCGCTTCCGGCAGAAAGTGAATCTCGCTGTTCACCAGAGGACCCACACGGGGGAGAGGCCGTTCCGCTGTGCCGAGTGTGGGAAGGGCTTCAGCCAGAAGGCCCATCTCCTCCGGCACCGCCGGACGCACACGGGGGCCATGCCGCCCTCTTGCTGCGAGGGGACCTGCCCAGCACATCAGGAGGAGCCAGATGCAAGCGCTCCCCTGGGGAAGGGATCTGAACCTCCCAACATGCTCCTGTCCCCCTGCTCCAGGGGAGCTGCTCACGGATCGCTGGCTCGGGAAGAGCTTCGGGCAGGAGTGCAGCCCCCAAACAGACCAGAGAGCCCGTCCGGGGCAGCAGACATCCTTCTGCAACTAATGCAAGACGATCATCACCTAGTGTCTGGCTCTCACCATCCGCAGGAGGGACCCGCTGGGCAGTGCCCCTGTAAATGCGCAGAGGGTGGGGAAAGCTTGAGTGAGAAGCCAAGTCTGCAGCCGCAGTGCTGCTGTACTGACTGCATGAGCCAGCGGCAGCTGCTTCTGAAACCCCAGCATGACTGCAGAGCGGAGATCTGGTGCAAGTACGGTGGCTGTAGCAGAAGCTTTGAGGATAAGAGAGTCCTGAGAGTGCCTGAGAGAGCACATGGCGAAGAGAAAACCTCTCAATGCCCAAGCTGCTTGTAACGTGTGCGCACCTGAACAAACTGCCATAAACCTATCGCTGAGCAAGGGACTAGACCTCATTGCTCTTGCACTAAAGACACCAAACCTAAATAGGGCAGTGGCTCCAACCAGAAGCCAGATTGCTAACCAAATGAGGACAGTGCAGAGGCTGTACCGGCCTCACGAAGGGAAAGGTGCAAGGCAGGTTCAGGACATGGTGGTGGTAGGGACTCGGAGGATTGTGGTGGTTCACGAGACCGGGAATGGCATGCTTTTCAGAGCAGAGTACCTTACAGGTGAGTATTGGATGTAAGGAAAGTATCAGTCGTGAAGCTGTTGATGGACCCTGATGCACAGTGTGAGCTTTCCATCTTCTAAACATGCCAAATGTGGAAAGGAGATGGAGCTGAGAAGCAGGAATCGATAACAGGACTGTGGATCTGCAGTGTTTGCTTCTACTGGCTGCTGCATGTGAAGATCCTGACCATAAGGAGCCGGGGGGAAGAGCTTGGGATTCCGTATATCGGCTTAAGACTAATTTCCATCATGCAGCAGGCCACGCAGAAGCATGTCTGCACGTTCCTGGGTCCAGGTGCAGCTGGATGATGCCTGAGCACAGTCCTGTGATGTGCGGACCCAGTGACAGCGGAGGGGCAGCGAAGGGCCCCTGTGCCAGAACCCTCCATCCTTATGTTCTGGACTGGATGTCTTTCCACGGGATGCTTCAGGGGTGGAGAGCTGACACCCGCTGCCAGTTGTGGGCAGAGGAAGAACGGCTTCACTGAACGTGATGAGTGAGCTGAAGAAAGCAAGAAGTCCTGGGGAAAGGTGCTGGATCCCTTCTTGCCTTAGAGGTGAACCTCTGCTGATGTCCCCCAGACAACAGAGCAAGATCCAGCCTGGGAGGTGGAGCGGAGAGCAGCTGGGCAAGGACAGGCGTTGGGGGAAAACAGCTCAAAAATGTCTAGCCGCAGGTGGTCACTACTGACTTAACCGCAGCTCTAATTCCAAAATGGACCACGATAAGCATTTCCTCTGTCCCTGGAGGAGATGATTCAGGGTGACTATTGGGGGGTGGGGAAAGGGGAATGTAGCTTGTGCTTCTGTACTTGCTCTTTGGATAATCTTTCTGACTAGCACCTCTTTCTGGTACTCGATTATTAACTTCTAAATAGATAACCCAGAAATGCCGGGGGAAGAGGTAGTGTCTGCCAGAGCCTTTCCGGTAGCTTGTGGTGGTGTCCGCCTGTTTTCTCGTCGGTGTCAAGTGCCCCTAAGCCTCGGGGGCTCCCTGCAGCAGCAGATGCCTGGTGTGAAGGTAGGGTGTTGTGTGAGACGGAGGTTGTTTGCTAAGGCTTCCCTGGCGTCTCGGCTCACTCTCGGCAGCGGCAGAGCTGACGCTCCGCGGACGTGAAATGGAGGGAGCCGCTTCGCCAGGCAGCTGGGGGCAGTGGAGGGGCTGGCAAGGGCCGTGCTTCAGAAACGAGAACTCTGGCCTGGAAGCTCTTTTTGCTTTGAGGTGCGTTTTACATAAAAGAGGAAACGAATCTTGCCTGCTGCATCTGAGGGAAACCATCTTTCTATTGCTCCTCCCCCAGCATGTAATGAACTGCATAGTTCTCAGCCCTTGCTATGGTGGCAAGAACCCTATTTCGCTTTGCTAGGCTGCGAGAGCCTTGTGGCCGCAACGGTTTGGCAAAGACCTTCACCTGAAAGCACGCGGGGCGCTGCTGATGGCGCCCGGCTCGGTGCCACGCCGCGCTCTCGCGAGGGCTGGGGGGCGCTCGGTACGCGC